TCAGAGGAGCTTGACAGCGTCAACTACACACTTTTGACAGAGTGGTCCCCAAGCTACGTTTTAAAAACACACACACACACACACACGCACGCACACGCACGCGCACGCGCACACACACACACACACACACCAAATTTGGCACAAGCATCAACCATACCAATAACCATAAAAATAATAATAATAATAATAATAATAATAATAATAATAATAATAATAAGAGTAAAACCCAAAACCAGGAAGTCAGATATTTTTATATCTTCTGCTGAAAAAGTGCAGTTTTTGCCATTTCCAGGCGTTATATTTTAACAAACTCCTCCAACAGATTTTATTAGATCAACACTTAAATTGGGTATTGTCCTTCAGTCAAACTTTGAACACATTTATGTGGCAATTTCCAGTTATAGTCATAGCGCCACCTGCTAGCAAAAGGAAATGACATGTTTTACACTAAACTCCTCCAAATCCAAGTTCCATTAGTCCTATCCAAAGAACAATGTGACAATTGTAAACATCTAGAGTTTTCTTTGAAGGGTGTGTCTGCCATGGAAGAGGAAGTACTTATATGTCCAATCTGCCTGAAAATTCACGTTTGATGAGATTCCTCTCCTGAAGACATCTACATGCCAATACATAGTCACAATCATTGTGCCACCTGCTGATAGAAGGAAGTTTGGCATAAATCTGTGATTTTATCAGATTTATTTTACATTTATCAGCTTAAATTATTATTGTTCACTGTTCTCTATCATCCTAAGGCCACCGGGTGGCAGTGAGCTTGGGTGTGAGGTCCCTTTCCTCGCTGCTTGCAGCTTAAATTTACATTAAAGTTGTTCATTGTTACTTCATAACAAGCAAGGATAACCCCGGTTTGGAAAAGTCGAGGTTTTAAAACCCCTAAAATTTTCTGTTATACTGTTTCTACAGTATATGTTAGATTTTTTTTTTAGGACAGCAGTTTCTCCAGCAGAAAGAATATCCAAAGATGCCATTTTAAATTGTAAAGAAATCTGTGTTTTTAAAACTAATGAAGACAGAAGAAGTCAATTATTTATTTGAATTACTTAGTCTGACATGTTTACTCCTCCAAAATATTACACATTTTTCAAAAAATAAAATGTATTGTGTTTAATAGGGGGACAAAAAATGTTAGTTTTTTACCCAGATATTGTAAAAGAATATATTTTAGAGCAGTAATCACAATACCGTGATACAGTGATATTTTTATCCAAGGTTATCATACCATCAGATTCTTATACCGACCCATGCCTAGTTCATAATAACTCAAAGTGTGACAAGCATGAATTTGCATTTTAATAATGCATTAGTAAATGTCGATCTATGATTAATAAATAATGTTCATACTTGATGTTAATAAATACATTAACTAACATTAAATCTAATGAAAACTATATTGTAAAGTGTGAGCACTATGACTTCCTAGTGTATAAAAAGAACAATGAACACTTCATTTGTATAAATCTTGATAATCTGAAACAATCGAGGACTCACGGCAACATTTTAATTTCAAAAATTTATTGCACAGAACATAAAAAGAATGTGAGACAAAAATAACAATCTTTCATATGCATCAGTGAGAAAACAGTCTTAAGTGAGATCTTGCCTTAGGCAAAACCATAACAGTGCTAAAGTGTCGCTTAGTAACACCACAGCTTTTCTAAGCCAGATGGACAGGCATGCAACACATTTCCAGTTTTAACATGCTACACCATTTTTAGAGCAGAAAATCAATAGAATCACATTTATACAGCTTAACAAGCAAACGGCCCACCCTTGGCTTGTATAAACAGTTCGGGATAGTCAGTCTGGCTTCACTATGAAGCATCTACCCTGACTATTCCCTTAAAACAGTCCCCATACTGCACTGAATCTCAGTCTCTCATTCCATACAGGTTGAGCAGGAGGTCCAAACTGACCCTTCTTAACTCACTAACGTCCTTCTGTGCATCTGCGCAGACTCTCAAGTGACTTCAAGAATGATCGCTCAGCTTTGTCTTCCTCTACAGCGAAAAGTCCTTCCTCATCCACCTCCTCTGCGATCTTATTACAGCTGAATTCTCTCTTCCTCCTCAGGATGGATCGGGCCTTGTCACAGCCCAGAGTTCTGGACAATCCTGCGAGATGAGGGAACTCCTCCACTTCCAAAGGCATCCGGTGAACAGCCAAAGCATTCAAGTGACTCATTTCCACTGACATCCTGGTGAGAAGTTCGAACAAGTGAAGGTTTTCAAAAAAATTTCAGAGGAAAGTTCCAATCAGGCGAATCGGTCCTCTGAAAATCCACACTGGTAGAAGCAGATGAAGCTGAGAGAGAGAAGCTCTTGGGTGGGTTTGCTGCTGCTGTTGGGTCTCCTTCTCGAGTGTTGGTAACCCAGAGCTGCTGTGAGGCTTTATATAGGCCTTCTCTTCCCACTCACTCCTCACGGCTCCTCCTTCATCAAAAGTCTGTCACGCTTCCGACTTCCTTTCCTATCCTCCGGAATCACCCCCTCCACCAACTACAGCCGGCAACAAACAACGCATGCCATGCACAACAGGGAGGAGGCTGAGGGATGAGGATTTGGCTCTCAGACACAACATGAGAGAGATCAAACACGTCTATCAGAGGAGATAGACGTGACACTGGGCAGATGGCCTTTTAAAATGGTGCTACAAAGCAAATTCACTCGTATTGAGGTTTAAAGAATGTGATTTTGCAACATTTGAATGTAAAGGGCAAGCGCATGGGATGGGCACAGATGGTCTTTGCCTACGGGGGAGAAATGTGGAGGCAAGAAAGGGCACGAGAGAAACTCTGGTTTGAAGTCTGCCGAGAACAGGACTCTGGAGGATCATTCTTAATGACTTTAATTAAGATAGAGTCATCTATGATTAGAACCTATTATGATAACAAAAAAGATATGGTCTAAAATATAAAAGAATAACAAATTGACTACAATTATTGGAACTACAATAGTGTGATTTATAAAGAAATTGACTTTCGAGCTGGTGAATTTGTCAACAAGACTGATGATACATTAAGTTATGATTCACATGGTAATTTTTTAAAGAACACTTCACGTTTTTGGAAAAAAGCTCCTTTTGTTTTCCAGTCAATCTTTGTACACAGAACTTGAAGAAGAGTAAAGCTTTAAATAATCTAATCTAATCTCTGTTCATTTTTGAGTGAGATGCTAATGGTCTAACTGGATTCAATGATATATGCCAAGTTAAGCTAAAAGTGCTGCTGCCAGACCCGGAGCTCAGCTGATTGGATTCAAAAAAAGGTAAAACTGAACAGTTTAATTCTAAGGGACTATTAAATACTAAATAAATTAAATACTAAATCAAATAAGGGACTATGAGCCTATTAAAAAAACATGGAGTCTGTCTTTAGGTCTAAACTAAAACAAAAAAATGTGTTTTTTTTATTTAAAATTATGAATGGTTTGTGAATCGCCAAAGTCAATCTCAGGAAATGGTTAGAGTCATCTTTTTGTCAACACTTGAGCTTCTTTTACTAATAATATGAATTACTGTATATTCTGCATTTAAAAAAAAAAAAAAAAAAAAAGCTTCCTAACATGATCGATATTTTATTTTCATAAATAAAAATTAGATAATCATTTTCTGACTTTCTGAATAAAAATCTGCCAAATTATCAAATTTAAATGTAATGTAGTGTAATATTTATAAATAGCAATATTATTTTTTAATCACTTTCAAAAACATATTCCTGTCCAGCTGAGGAACAACAAAATCAAAAACCCAAAAACTAAGAAAAAAAGTCTTAACAGGTAAAATTGTAATATTATTTCACAATCTTAGAGTATGGTGCATTTTTAATCTAACAAATGCAGCCCAGTCTAGCATAAGAACATTTAAAAAAAAAAAAAAAAAAAGCTAAAACAGTTAAATTAAGAGTGTAGTTATTTTTTTTTTAAAGCTGTCATTATTTTTTTATTATAATGTATCTATTATTATTTTTATCTATTTGTTTATTTTTTGTGAATGTAAATGTTCGTAAAAGGCTTAATAAAAAACAGTAAAAAAATAATTAACAATTTTCATAATAAATTTCAATTGGTGACACTAGCTACATTTCCATCTACCTATTATTATGTGCATTTTGCATATACTCATAAAAAAACTGGTTGATGGAAACACCAAGATGTGCATACATTTTGAAATTGCGCATAAAAATACACATGCGCATAACTGAGTAGGATAAACTTTTTATTCGATAAGAAAAGATGAGCATTAACTGCAATGGAAACACTTTTACTGAACAAATTCCAGTATGCGCATAAAAAAGTTGTAATTTTGTTACAAGAGATTATGTGATTATAAAAAATATGTGTGAAAGGACAAACCAGCAGGCTGAGCACACTGTTAAACATCTAAAATGTTGTTTTGGTTATTCTAAAACATCTTAATCATTTAAGTATTAGTATTATTATATTATTAATGACTTCCAGAATCAAGAGCGTCTGTTCTCCACTTTTCACGCCACCGTGTGTTCATTAATTGTCAGCATTGTCTTCTGAGGCAAAAGTCATCTATTAAATAACAAAGATATTGACGCGGCCTCTCGTACCGCAGCAGATTCCGTTTTTACTGTTGATATTTGGGGACAGCTAATCAGGAAGTGACTAATTTGTTCCCTTTGACTTGTTGGATGGAAAGGCTGCTTTATTCGCAAGTCTTTTATATGGTAATACAGTTTTGCACATAGTTGACTCAGTTGAGGCGGTTCATTCCGCTGTGGCGACCCCGGATTAATAAAGGGACTAAGCTGAAAAGAAAATGAATGAATGATTCAGTTGATTCGCTTTTTTGGCTGGAAACATAGCTGCTGATCACATGACTATTTTCATTGCAAGCATTTGTGTTCAAACAACATTTTTACCACAGACACCTGAATTATTATAATGTACCAATGCAAGATGGAAAAACAGCTCTCATTTAGTGCATCAAAAATCCAAACACAGCATCTAGAACCATTATTATTACATTTTTGTTTTTATTTGAAATGTATTAATTCAAACGCAGGCATGAGCATTACATTTAGTCTGCTGCTGGCTTTAGTAAAGTGATTCATACCAAAAGCTGAAAGTGCCGATCAGCGCTCTGGAGTTGAAAAGAAATGTTTTTGGAGAAAATACTGCATTATCACTGACCAGATAATAACAGAACCACAGCCTTAGTTTTCAAACGAAATGTTTTCAGAATTTAAATTTGCTTTCAGTGGCCAGCAGTACCAGTATTACAAAAGTTAACCGTACAACACACACACACAAACCTTCCACAACAATGTTAGTGCATTAGAATCGCATCATCTTTCTTTAAAGATGAAAAATGCATAGAGCCATCTGTGATGGGCAGGAAAATAGTTCATGTAGTGCACTTAGTTTGCAGGCAACTGACAAGTCAAACAAACAAAAAGCAAATGAAGAGTTCCGATGCAAAAACCTCTAAATGCCATCTGAAATTTTCTTCTGAAATGAGCATTTTTATCAGGTTTTTAGTAATATCCTTTTTATGGCAAAGAAAAAGTCCTTTTAATGGTCTTCAAAGTGAAATATCTCAACATATACAAAGGAGTCTGAGAAAAATGTTCATTTTTGATGGAAATTTCATATGGCAATTAAAGGTTTTTGCATCTGAACTCTTCAAAGATAAACCAAGTTAATAAGTGCATCATTTCAGATATACTTTTTAAATGATTGCAGGCAGCCTAGCAAATTTGATTCATATCAGTCATAAATATTCTCAAATTGAATGGACATTACGGAAATAGACTTTTCATTTAAGCTGAGAAGATCTTGCTCACTATTCATGCCCATCAGAACACTATTATAAAAAAATTACTTTCTCAATCTAAACATTACAAGAAAACAACAACAAACTATACCAATCAATCTGGTTTAGTGACTGTTAGGATACAACTCAGAGCTAATAAGAACCGTTGGTCACCATTGGCTGTTGAAGCAAATCATGTTTTGTTAGCTACGACTCAACACACCACTGTAGTGCTTGGAAAAAACAACACACTGCTTGATTCGTAGAGTCTCCAACAGAATTATCAGGAGCAGTTCGGTGAGACTGCTCTTGGCCCCAACAGCAAAGAGGCAGAGAGATTTTTATTTTTTTTGGTTCGTTCCTTTTCTTTACACCGTCCCTTTACCCCTCTGTGTGTCCTTTTGTCTATTTCTAACCTTGTTTCTGTTTCTTCAGATAGCGTGCTCGCTGGGACAACCCCATGCCCATAACATATTTGTTGAGCAGCTTTGCAGGAAGCAGAGAAGCAGTCACCCAGCCCTGCAGAAATCACAGACACTTGTCACACTTTAAAAATTCAGAAGAAAAAAAACTATTCACTTTATACTGTAGTTTACATCATATACAAGCTGCCATCATTACATATTGCATTTAAAAATTACATTTGGAGTAGTTTTTTTTTAGTGCTGAGGAAAAATTTATCACAATTAATCACATCCAAAATAAAAGCTTGTTTTTCCATAACTTAAGTGTGTACTGTATATATTTATTATATACAGTTGAAGACAGAATTATTAGCCCCGCCGTTAATTTTTCTCTGATTTCTGTTTAATATAGAGCAGATTTTCTCAACACATTTCTAATCTTAATAGTTTTAATAAATCATTTCTAATAACTGATTTATTTTATCTTTGCCATGATGACAGTGAATAATATTTGACTAGATATTTTTCAAGACACTTCTATACAGCTTAAAGTGACATTTAAAGGCTTAACTAGGTTAATTAGGTTAACTAGGCAGGTTAGGATAATTAGGCAAGTTGTTGTATATTGATGGTTTGTTCTGTAGACAATTGAAAAAATATAGCTTAAAAGGGCTAATAGTTTTTATCTTAAAATGATTTTAAATATTAAAAACTGTTTTTATTCTAGTTGAAAAAAAAATCTCCAGAAGTAAAAATATGTGAAAATTCGCTTGCTCTGTTACACATAACATAATATATAATATTATTACAATAATTATATTTAATTTAATATAATGTAATAAATATTACATTATATTAAAATAATATAATATTTAAAATATAAAAGAATAATAATAATAAATCAAAGGGGGTCTAATAATTCTGACTTCAACTGTATATATAAATACACATATTCATGCATACATCTGAAGTTTATTTATATTTAGATATAAATGATATAAATTAGATATATATGATTCAAATTATAAATAACATAGGTACATGTAACAAAATAGTGTTTCTATGCATGTTTATAGCATTTTAATATAAATAGATATAATACACACACACATATTGTGCAAAAACACACTTTTATTTTGGACGCAATTAATTATAATTAATCTCTGACCAACACTATTTAAAAAAAACGTAAATATAAATTATGCTTTTCAATAATTTTTTTTTTTTTTAATTCTGCATGAACAACGAGAATCCTTAAAACAACCTTATGTGTGTTTTGTTTTAAGAAGACAGCCATTGATTTGTGTTTGATTTTTATTTTGATTTGTTTACATTCATTTATTATTCATTTAATTATTTTACTCAATCATATGATCATTAGTAATTTATATAATTATCTTTATATCATTTTAATGATCTTTAATTAATGATTTGATAATTGTCATTTTATTGTTTTTATATTCAATTATTACTATTTTCCTACAATTTTTGCTTCATTATTATTACATTTTTTTCCATATTGTTATAATCTTATGACTATGTGGATTCAAGTGAAACTTGTTTTCAAGAGTAAGAGATAAGAGAATGTCTCTATTTGAAGGTCTGTATTGCCACTGGATAATGTTGTGAAGCTATATTTTCCATTGCTGTCGCTTGTGATATAATAACACTTGTTAGATTTATTGTGGTCAGACAAAGTCTGAGCATTGAATCATACGCAACTAAGATTATTCAATGAACTTAGCGCTTTCTTTATCATTATGACTTCGTCTCTTTCTTCTGCTCCTCTCTAGCTTTCTCAGTCAACTCCTTTATTGATAGGAGATTTTTATTCAATTGAAGACTGGTTAACAGGTTTGGGTATTGGGCAGCTCCCCTGGCTTGTTGTCAGGACAACCAGAGAATCAGACCTTTTCTGACAGAATCTGGCCTCCGGGGATAGATCTTATTTACCTGGCTTGAAGAGTGTGATCTAATAAACAAGTATGCGCTAAACAGCGAGTTCAACCCAAAATAAAACAAAATATACATAATTTACTCATACTCATATTGTTCTAAATCCATATGAAATGTTTTCATCTGAGGAACACAAATTAGTAACAGGATATTAAAAACAAAAATAAAAAATAAAAAATGCCTATGAAAGGTTTAGTATATTTAGCCATAAAGCTTCAAAAAGATCAAAATATAAATGCATGTGCTCTGAAACAACAAAACCAACTTATATGATGAATAGACATAATTGAAGCCTTATTCACATAAAGAACATGGATCAGTGAACAGTGTTGGCAGCATTCAAATGTGGTCATGGACATTCAAGCATGCTGGGACCAGTGAGGTTTGTTCTTGTAGATGGAGCATGTATGGTTGATCTTCAGTTGATGTTCACTGATCAATGTTCATATGCAGATAAAAGCCAAAAGATAGATGAAAGTCTTATGGTTTGGAAGGACACAACGAGGAGTGAATGCATTTCCTGTGTAACAAAATATTTTGATTTTAAGTAAAATTTCTCAGTACCGAATAAATGGATCAGTTAAATTAAATTTGCTAATGCTAAAAATCGAACTATTATCGTGTTCACACTTTCTATTACGGTAGAATTTCATTAAAAACAAACAATTAACTAAGACATTTTGGCTCACTAACCTACTAATTTCCTGCTTATTAATAGTTCTTCAAGTAGTGTGTTAGGTTAATGTATAATTAGGGATATAGAATAAGATAATACTTTAAGTACTAATAAACAGCCAATATTTTTTATAATTTACAGGCAATAAGCCAGCAGTTAGTAGTGGGAATCTATTCTTTAACTAAACTACGTTGTGGCTTTTCTCTTAGTCACATTTGTACACAGAGTTTTACTAATGTCTAAAGATCAACTTTTGTAAGCTGTTTGAACAGAACTGTGTGTAGATATAGTGTCCACAATCATATTGGAGTGATATAACTCAAGTCTTTTTTTTATTTTTATTTCCTGACGTTAAAATAGGACCCAAATCCCAGTGATTTTGACGCCTACCGCAACATCACGTAGGAGTATGGTTTTCCCCGCCCACTGAATTGATTGACAGAAGCCATGTTTCCATAATAACACGTGCACGTGTCCACAGAACATTTTTTTTTTAACTCTCCATGATGTTTGTTAGTTTTAAACATTTCAAATGTTTTTAAACAGAGCATGTTTGTAAAGACAGTAAAATCACTGTAATTCTTAACGGCTATATACAGACACATTCTGAAGACACCAAAGGCTTATCTTACATCTTGTAAAAGGAGTAAAATAGGTGCCCTTATAAGTGAATAAACATACTTCACAAATTATTTATGTATATTTTGATGCCATATCAGCAGCAAAGGCTATATTCAAGGCAACACTTGTAGTAAATATATCATTTGGAATCATAACGGTTTCTTAATCATTCATTGTACAAAAAAATACACAACACACTCAAATTAAAACAACTTACATGACCCTTTTATCAATGATAAATACTCTAAAATCTCTCCAGAAGGCACCTTTTTAAACATTTTCCTTAAAATATCTCCTGAATAATAAAAAAAATCTCTAATATCACTTAAAAACAGACCTTCTAGTAAAATATAACTCACAAATTAAAATCCCAAAAAACTAGTAAGTGTGTTATGAATAACCCAACATTGTGAATTTTCACCAGCACATGGCAGGTTGGCAGGTGTTCATTTTTAAACCCTGAACTTAATAATATTTCTAATTATCACAGTCGTATTGTGTTATCGATTAAGAACGCATGTTATTTGACCTAACATAGAAGTATTTTCTCAAAAATGTTCTCTTACTGACCCCACACTTTTGATCTAGCAAATTCTCTCTAGACCTGGAAACTACTGTAATTTGTTAAAGGTTTTTTAAAAAGGGTCTCACCATAATGGCATGAGGAAGGTATCCGTTGGACTGAGTCTGCAGGCCTATAGTGCTCAGCTGGGCTTTTACATAGCGTTCTGGAGTGGGAATGTCAAGAGTGGGCTTCCTGATCTTGCTCAGCTTGGTGGTCACATAAAATGGCAGCACACTCTTTAAAAAAAAAAGAAACAAGACATTTTATAATTATAATAAATCAGAGCGACCAAAATGTATTGCCACCGGCGAAAAACAAAAGACTCTAATGGCTCATTTCCAGTGAGTAGAATGATACTGTACGATTCGGTACGCTTTTAAAGCAGTTTCCACTGTCAAAAGGTACCTAAAAAGAAATCATACTGTACCAACTTTTTGGCTACTCTTTGCAAACACAAACAAAGGAGCAAATTTTTACAGCAAACAAACAAACTGCCATGTATAACTATTATCATCACCTTCTGGACTATTATGAACTCAGAATGACGGAATTACTCTCTAACAGATGCTTTATGTGCTAGCGAAGATTAAAGATACAGATGAGAGGTTTGCACTGACTGTGGGCTATGTTGCGTGTTGTTTTTGAACCCAAATAAGGACTAAATGTATGTTGTGTGTAGGTTTTCTGTAATTGGTAACATATCGGTGACTGTACGGAGCTGTATGTGTTCCTATATGTTGCATTTATCATTTATTTTAATAATCGCAGAAGTTACAGTAGGCTATTTCGCATCACTGATCTACAGTTATAATCAAACCATGTTCATAAAAAGGTTAGTGATGAACATTTATACACAAGTTTTTAAAAAACTTACAGTATATATCTGTTTTGTGAGAAGTGCATCTCATAGGATATGTGACTGACCCGTACAGCTTTACTGTTGACATTTTCTCGAGCGAAACTGACATTGACCCTGGTGTACCATTGGTACCCTTTTAGCAGTGAAAACGCAAGCCTGATGAAGGTGACCTGTACCGTACCATACTATACCACTGTACCATACTGTGGAAAAGGGCCAAAAACAACATTTGTGAGGCCAGACCACAAAAAAAAGTCTTATATTGTATGGGAATATTGGTGGGAATAGCCCAGAATACACTATGGGTCAAAACCATACCATTTTTTCTTTTATGCCAAAAATCATTCGAATATTAATTAAATATCGTGTTCTATGAAGACATTTAGTAAATTTCTTACTATAATTACATAAAAGCTCAATTTCTGATTCGTAATATGCATTGCTAAGAATGTAATTTGCACAGTTTTAAAGATGTTTTTTTCAATATTTGGATTTTATTTTTTTGAAAGCTCAAGATTCTAGATATTCAGCTGCATCTCGGCCAAACATTTTATATACTAGCTAAGTATAAATCAATTGAAAATAAATGTATTCAGTTTTTTAGATAATGCAGATCTCAATTTTAAAAAAACATAAAAAGTTTTTAAAAACTTGTGTTGTCCAGGATCACATACATCTCAAATGCAAGTCTATTTAAAAGCATATTTTCATTTTTGTCATGTCATTTACTAGCAACATAATATAACAATATCTTAATCTTCTAACTCTTTAATATTTCCTCACCTGAATAATGATTCCTTTGCTTTTGTATTCAGCATCAAGTCCTCGGGAGAAGAAGTCCACAAAGGCCTGGAGAAGTGAGAATAATTAGGTAACATGTCTTTGAGCATTATGAAAGTGACAAACTCATTAAACTTTAAAGAAGCCAAAACTACAAGATGATGCATTTTTTTTAATATCAACAATATGCTGAAATGTGTTACCTGCATGATACATACAGCTATTAGTTGTTTATGTATATTTAGAAGATACACTTTTGCAAACTGAAGACAAATGGTACAAATATTCACTAATGTCGAAGAAAATATGATGCATGAACTGTAGAGGGTGTAAACTTGTGCAATAGACAATGATTTGTAATTATTACTTGTTTTGTTTAAAGTTTATTTCTATTTAATACTGTCCTTCAGAAAAATATATTAAATATTGGATTACAAACAGTTTATAATTTACCATGACCTTCCAAATTAGAAAGCTTACAACTCAAACTGTTAAAGTGTTGTGTTGCTTTCTAAAATAGTAGTGAACAGTTTCCGTTTTAGTAAGAGTTGTGTTTGAGTTTCTCAGTTGTCCTCAATGTGAAAACACTGCAGAAGATGTTTTTCTTGTCCAAATATCAAAAAAATCCTAATTCAAGCCTAAACTTAGTGAGTAAATCCTTTACTATCCTTTGGCAGATTATTTTGGCTGTTCACTTAAATTTGACTAAAATGTCTAAAAACAAAAGATTTAGAAGATTGGACTATTTGGACTAGAAACAAAATAAATCTCTAAGCAAAACAAGCATTTTTTACAGGCGAAGTTGGATCTCTGTATTACATGGTCAGTAGTCACTGCTGAAAAGGTCAAATGTGCAAAAGATGCTAGAAAATGGGGAATCTACAGCATCTGTAGAGTTTTTCTGATGAAAAACTGTGGTCACACTTTACAATAAGGTTCATTAGTTAATGTTAATTAATGCATTTACTAACATGAACAAATAATCAACAATACATCTACTACAGTATTTGTTCATGTTAGTTAACGTTAGTTAATGAAAATACAGTAGTTCATTGTTAGTTCATGTTAATGGTGCATTAACTAGTATTAACAAGCATGGACTTGGATGTCAATAATGCATGAGTAAAGATTCAATTATGCTTAATAAATGCTGTACATGTGTTGTTCATGTTTAGTTCATGTTAGTAAATGCATTAACTGATGAACCTTATTGTAAAGTGTTACCAAAACTGTCAGTTTAACTGCTCAGGTTAACCAAGAGACATATGAACATCCAGCATGCACACGGAGACAATTACAGGTGCAGACACAAAATAATTGTGGATCATGCAAGTAAGAAAATTCAGTGTGTAAACGTTTAAAAGAATTGTTTCTTAATAGATTCAGTTATTTTTTTGTCTGCAACATAAGGCAAACATCTATTATGTAAAGTAGCGTATGCAGGACATATTAAGCACTTTATATAATTTGTGCAACATGCATATTTTCTCTGATTTGGTTACAATTTTGTTACATTTACCTTATTTATTAGGGGTATGTATACTGTATCTATGAACTTGTAATGATTTTATCACAATTATGGCCTTTTTGTCCATCAGAACTGTGAGATTAAAAGTTTACAACAGTGGGATATTATGTCCTTTTAATCCAGTGCACAGCATAACTGAATACACCCTTCTAACAATACATTTTTATCCATTTCTGAGTAAATAAAGAAAACATACACTCACTTTATTAGGTACACTTGTCCAACTGCTCATTACTGCAAATTTATATTTAGCCAATCGCATGGCAGAAACTCAATGCATATAGACATGGTCAAGACTTTTGTGAGTATTTCAGACACTACTGATCTACTGGGATTTTCACGCACAACCATCTCTAGGGTTTACCGAGAATGGTCAGAAAAAGAGAAAATATCCAGTGAGCGGCAGTTCTGTGGGTGCAAATGCCTTGTTGATGCCAGAAGTCAGAGAATGGCCAGACTGGTTTCAGCTGATAGAAAGTCAACAGTATCTCAAATAACCACTCGTTACTTCCGAAGTACGCAGAAGAGCATCTGGTGTAATGGTGTGGGGGATATTTTCTTGACACACTTTGGTCCTATTAGTACAAACTCAATATCATGTCAACATCACAGACTAACTGAGTATTGTTGCTGACCATGTCCATCCCTTTATGACCACAGTGTGCCCATCTTCTGATGGCTACTTCCAGCAGAATAACGCGCCATGTCAAAGCATGAATCATCTAAGACTGGTTTCTTGAACATGACAATGAGTTCACTGTACTCAAATGGTCTCCACAGTCACCAGATCTCAATTCAAAAGAGAACCTTTGTGATGTGGTCGAACAAGAGATTTGAATCATGGATGTGCATCCGACAAATCTGCAGCAACTGGGTGATCTATGCCACGAACGATTAGGGCAGTTCTGAACAGGGCCAGAGCAAGCTGTACTGCCGCTCTAGGCAAAGGAAGATAACGCCACCTACAACCGGAAAGTGAAAACAAAAATGACCGGTTAGCACAGTGAAGACCTGAAACCCGGGGGTGGGGGGTGGGCTCTATGGACGCGCCGGCCCTGGTTTTGAAGACTAAAGGAGGTCCAACCCAGTACTAGTAAGGTGTACCTAATAAAGTGGCCGGTGAGTGTATTTTAATATTAGTTTTTTTCTTCACTACCATAATTACATTTTTCCATAACATTAATTAGAGTGTTTTTGTTTTTTCACAATGATCATGTTATTTTGTTAGAATATTTCCAGTTTTGGATTTGGTACCAACTAATTTAATGCATATATAGATATACTGCAAGTACTTGTATAACATGCCATAGAAGTATTACATTTAAAAGAGAAGTCTGCAAAGGATGTATTCATTTATTCTGCACACTATATATAATTTCTTTCTCAATGACAGAAACAAGCTTCCACAACATCTTCTGAGATCATTAACAACAAAAGACAACACTTTTCTCAAAGATTTTCAAGACATTAAAACACGAGGAAAAATAACAGGAAAATTGACTTGCCTTTGTGGAAGAGTAGAGAGTGAGGAGGGGAACTGGGTACATGCCACTCGCAGAGGCAACATTCAATATCACTCCTTTAGACCTGAAAAGAGTCAGAGACCCATTAATGTTCGAACTTTCGCAGAACTGCACGTAAGCACGATCAAAAAAAAAAAAAAAAAAAAAAGACAACAGTGCTTAAAACGTCCCATCTATTCATTCCATTTTCACTTGACTCTTTGGACAGCATAGAATTATCCCTTCTATCACACAGGTACCTGCTAATGGATTCTTGCATCCCTGTTGCTATGGCTACCGGTGCCCATGCCAGTATACATACAGTGTTGCATTATGTACTAGTGCACACCAGACTCAAAGGCTCCACATGGGAGGAGCTACAGGTACTTTAATATTGCCTTTTATTCGCCAAACTAATAAATGTTTTAAGTATTTATTAAGACTTCCATTTTTCATTCAATTTCAGTTTGACAGTCTCTGCCACAAGAAATAACGGTAGCACTTTAGTTTAATTAGCAATTCACACCATTTACTACTGGCTTATTAACTGGCTATTATTAATGTATTAATTATTATGAATTATGATTTTATTTTACATCCCTAATCCTACTTAATATCTAAACCCAACATCTGTATCTAAAATATGATTTGACAAAAAGTCACGACAACAAATGTTTTTTGGTTACTTTAACTTATTTTATTAAGTTAATAAGTTTAACTTTATATTTTAGTCAGTTTGACTAATGTAAGTAGAGATGACTAGAATTTTTGATTTGATTCAACTAAAGATAAAGCAGTATGATTTTTTTTTTACAGTAAAACCATTAATAAGGAGCTAATTGGTAGTTGGAGCTAAAAGTCTTAGTTAATGGTTAATGATTAGTTAATAGTGCGAATTGTACATTAAAAATAAAGTGCGACTGAAATAACACTTCACAATTAGATTGTAATAATTAACAATGTATTTATTTACTAAAATGAAAAAATATATATAAACAAACAAAACATTTCTTACAGTATTTATTCATCTTTGTTAACATTAGTTCAAGGAAATAAAGCTGTTCATTCATGTTAACTCACAGTGCGTTAATAAATGTCATTACTTGGCTATCTGGAATAATTAATTAGACAGCAGCGACATGCCAAGGTATGTTATTTCAAGATAACAAACGTTGAAACTAATAACAGAGCTCATCCGGGCACTTCAAGTCATCTTGACTGTTAGTGAATGCATTCACATCTATATTCTTGCATGCGTGTCTGTCACACCACTGTTTGACTGTTTGGCGCCATCTTGTGACTGAATAATACGCATGTAAATGTTTGCTCCATTCATTTTCAGCTTTGTCTTTAATTAAAGAACTAATGAACTATTATGGCTCACAAAAATGTTTTATGTTTAACTTTTATGCTTTGTGGTGTAAAATACAGGCGGTTGTTTTTGCGGAATCCCTTAAGCATGACTTTAACATTTTATAAATGTATCAGTAAAACTATGATTAACAAATGATGCACAACCATAGTTCATTGTTAGTTCATGTTTGTAAATACATTAACCAAAATTAACTAATGAAACCTAATTGTAAAGTCCGACTGCTTATCAGTATGAACTCACAATACAACAGAACTAAATATTTAAAATGGTCTATTTCGAAATTTTCTATGACTTTCTGGAGAGTCTAGATCAGGGGTGTCAAACTCAATTCCTGGAGGGCCGAAGCCCTGCACAGTTTAGTTCAAACCCTGCTCCAACACACTTACCTGTAGGTTTCAAACAAGCCTGAAGGACTCAATTAGTTTGATCAGGTGTGTTTAATTAGGGTTGGAACTAAACTGTGCAGAGCTGCGGCCCTTTTGGAACTGAGTTTGACACCTGAGGTTTAGACAGTGTTTGTTTGAACAGCTGGACACTAAAAATATACAGATTAGACAAATATGTTATTGCTGTATTATGTAATGTTTTTTCTTCTTTCTTTTAAAGTGTATTATGTTATTTTGAGGTTATATATTATTCTTGTATTTCTTTTTTTTCTTTTGCTTAAGTGGAAACTTACACTACCAGTGAAAGGTTTGGGGTCAGTATGCTTTGTAAATGTTTTCAAATCAGCTTCTCACCAAGGGTGCATTTATTCAATCAAAACTACATTACACATTGTAAAATTGTGAAATGTTATTGCACTGTAAAATAACTGTTCAAAAGTAGTTTATCATTAAATTTAATCATTTATTCCAGTGATTTTAATGATGAATTTTCAGCTTCATGACTTCAGTCTTCAGAGTCACATGATCCTTCAGAAATCACTAATTAATTATTATTGTTTTTGTTGTTGTGGTTATTATTATTATTAATGTAATGGTAATAAAAGCAATGATGACTGAAGTAATTTCATTTAAAAACTACATTCAAAAAGTAATAAATAAATATTTGACAAGTATTTAAGTATTCAACAATTTAACATTTTTTTTACATTCAATAAATGCCACCTTGATGAACCGAATAATTTTCTTAAAAAAATAAATAATAAATAAATAAATAAAAACATAAAAAAAAAACATTTTAAAAAAAATACTGCCCCAAACTTTTGACCGGTAGTGTCTTTGACAATTTTTATGACAAATGTTTAAAATAAAATTGCTATGTAAAAGTATTAAATTACTTGGAAACTTGGAAAAAAAATAACAAGTACAGGATTGAAGTGTGCAAAAAGTGTAGATATTTTTTTGCTATTTCTGCGCAGAATTTTGTTAAAAATTTGTGGAGTATAACAATTAAAAACTTAATATATGAAACAAAAAAATAATACCCTTTATAACTTTTATTTATTGTTTACAATACAAATCCAATTAGATCCAATTATTTGGTAAACAAAGCAAGTCTCTCATATATCTACTAAAATACTGAGAATATGACTTTACAAACTGTATTAGAAATAAATCATATGAACATATTTATATTAGTCAATAATATTACTGAAATTAATTTGAAAACGGACTAAAAATAAATGTACACACATTTACACAAGGGAAACAGCGAGGTGCTAAAAATCTGCATACACAAATTCTGTGTGGGCCTTGCAATAACCAAGCAACAATCTTGACAAACTCCTCTATGAAAGGCCAGTCATGTCACCAAGTAAAGAAACATTTTGCCTGCTATGAATGACTAAACTTTTAAATCAACTACAAAAATCACATTTAATGATTAATGAACTTACCTGTCTACCATCCTGGGCAGTACCAACCTGGTCATCTGTATATTTACACACACACACACACACACACACACACACACACACACACACACAAAAGTGCAATGTGTGAGTCAGTTTAACCTCTGATAACTTCCAATGATCTTTTCAGGAATATTTTTAAGTCACGAAAAAAATCCCATAACTATAAATGTTCATGCACTTTGTGCAAAAAAATAATATGTAGCACTAACAGAAAAATACATGATGAATCCTGAGGGTGGCAGCAGAGACTCACAATTTAAGCATAATAACAGAGTAAGTGAACAACTGCTCAATGTTTATATATAAGGCTATAAATAGGTTTAGTTTATATATAGTGCTGTATGTAGGGCATTTATTTACAAGTCCTAAAAGCAGACCAGCAAAAAAAGAAAAAAAAGAAATAGATACCAAAATAGGATTTGCATTGTAGAAATGGTTGACTATTTCATTCATTCATTCATTCATTCATTTTCTTGTCGGCTTAGTCCCTTTATTAATTCAGGGTCGCCACAGCAGAATGAACCGCCAACTTATCCAGCAAGTTTAAGCAGTGGATGCCCTTCCAGCCGCAACCCATTCCTGGGAAACATCCACACACACATTCACACACACACTCATACACTACGGACAATTTAGCCTACCCAATTCACCTGTACCGCATGTCTTTGGACTGTGGGGGAAACCGGAGCAGCCAGGGGAAACCCACGCGAAGGCAGGGAGAACATGCAAACTCCGCACAGAAACGCCAACTGAGCCGAGGTTCGAACCAGCGACCCAACAACCTTCTTGCTGTGAGGCGTCAGCACTACATACTGCGCCACTGCCTCGCCTGGTTGACTATTTATTAATCCTAAATAACTTTGCTGAAGGCATATACAGTAAAGCCAATTTGGGTGAAGCAAATTCTTCTTACCTGACAAACTGACATAATATTGATGTTGATCATGTTGTTGATGAACTGCAATCAAACAGTCAATATGTTTACATTCAAACAAAATCACAACAAATAGGCTTTTTTTTAGGTTAAAAAGAAGAAAGTTCTGCCCAACGCAGAGAACACTACACAAACTCACACTGTCAACATCAGGAATATTGAGGAAGAACTCTGGGTAGGAATACGAAACTCCAACATTGTTAACTGTAGGAAAAAGAGGCACAAGATTTTCAGGACAGAATGTTTAAAAAAAAAGGCACTAGCAGGGGACTTGAGCAATGTTTAAATAGATTATAAATATATTCTTATAAAACTGTTACAAATAAATGTAAAAATAGGAACTGACAAGTAGTTCCCACCACTTTCCCATAGCTGGCAGCAAATACTAAAGCATCGCAAAGCATAAAAACATGATCAGTGTGGTATCCCACGAACATCTAAATTACACAAATATAACATACCCAAAACTCCGATTTCCAGTCCAGCCAGTCCAGATTCAATCTTAGGATAGATGTCCACAGATCCAAAGTCAGCAGAAATGGTTTTGGTCTCTACTTTATACTTGCTCTCTGAAGAAAAAAGAAAAAATAAAGAAAAAAAGCAGAGAATTTCAAAACAACAATCCATTTTTTTTTCTCACAGAATTAGACAACAGGATGGAAAGTGCTCGTATATTAGTTCACTTAGAATGAAACACATCAGTTGTAAGAGAGCTAATGAACCCAATAAACCAATTACACCTTACAGTTAAAGTTTAAAAAAAGCATGTCGCATAACAAACTAATAATGCAGTCATACAAGTCAAGTTTGTCATCCAATATTGTGAAATGCACAAATGTTCTCTGTTGCAAAAGTACTTTAATTACTAGATGTGTCTGAGCAAATGAATTGGAAGACAAGAGAGGAGGGAAAATATCAAAAGAAAGCAAGTACAGAGAAAACTTCATTTATATGCTTGCTAGTAGCAATCATATGCATTGCATTCATATGCTTGCTTCATTGAAAGAAATGTAATACAGTAAGTGCTGTCATCTAAACGCATTTACTGTACTGTATGAACGAATCAATTCTAAAGACACAATTTAGGGAAATCTGTTGCAATTCTCCTGATTAAAATTGTGAAAATGTAAAAAAGGCCGCCAGAGTGGTGCAGTGGGCAGCAAAATTGCCTCACAGCAAAGAGAAGGGCATCTGCTGTGTAAAGTTGGCGGTTCATTCCACTGTGGCGACCCCTGATTAATAAAGGGACTAAGTCGAAAATAAAATAAAAGAATGAATGAAAATGTAAAGAATAAATAAGCATTTATGATAAAAAAGTCAAATGTGATTAACGAAAAGCGTCAAATTCTTAGTAATACTATTGTTTTGACTGATGCATGTTGTTTAACTGGCCATTTAGAAACAATAAGCAATCCCAGACACTTCAGTTAAAGTGTTAGTTAAATTTTCCTTTTCCCACAAACTAACACTTTAACCAAAATGTGTAATAAGCTTTTTGCTCTTGGTCCTTCCAAGCTCCTGGGGTTTTTGTTTGTCTTCAGATTACAAATTCATAAAATTTCAGCGACATTTGACAGCTCTCTCATCCTCTAAAGGCAGTCAGGTTCCCGATTCACTCAAAGTCTAGAAAAATACTCCCCTAAAAAAATCTCAAAACGGACCATAAGTCTTCAATCAGTGTTTTAATCAGAACATTATTAAGAGACAAGAATACTTGCGCACAAAATAATTTCTATATTTAACAGTTTCTGCTCCTCAGTGTCAGTATAGACCATTTCAATGTGGTCATGTCATTGGCCCATGAACATTTCCTGCTTGTTATCAAACTATTTCATAACTGTAACAAGAGCAATTCAATCATAACTTCATGTTAAACAGCTATCATAACATTATTTATCAATACGTGTCTCCTTTTGGATTGTTGGAAGCTATAAAAGTGTCAAGTATAAAACAGGAAATACGTTTAGACAATGCTTTTTTGTTTACATCCCTCAAAAAAGTCTATAGGACATGAGGGTGAATAATTAATAAAAGAATGTTCATTTTTGAGTGAACTAACCCTTTAAGCACACAAATGCAATTCCAACCCTAATTAGTTTAGAACAGTCACTGAGTTTAGTTGAATGACTGAACTCTCATAAGATAAACAACAGGTCACATATAGTGTTCTGTACGCAAGAAAGAACTTCTCAATGATGATAAAGTTATGTGAGCATAAAGATAACACTAGTAAGGCATTCCTATTAGTGAATATTTGGTGCAAATGTACAGTGATGATCCCTATGAAGCTTTGCACACTGGGAATGATCAATCACAGTAAGGGTTGCATAGCAAGCGAGACTGGTGGCACTGTAGAAAAGAAAGCTGTTCAGAAAACGGCTGCGAAAACAAAAGAAAAGTCTTGCAGAAAAGTATGGATTTTCAATTTGTGGAATTGTTGATATCTGGAAATGTAGTCGGAAGTGCTTTTCACGCTTGACATTTTAAACCCTGGATAAATAAAACACTGATTTGTAATCACGTTTCACACTGATTTCATTTTCTCATTCAATGTGTGCTTTTATTAATTTTATGTATTGGGCTTTTCTTATAAAGCACTGTGATACTATACCTGGGGCTAACAAATAATCCTGGGTATACAGCCATTTTACACAGTACATTCCTAAACCCCGGGCTAACGTTCTTATTCGCAAATTTGCGATGTCACTGTCACTGACTGAATAAACATTAGCTAAATGTTTTAATAAATGACATGTCCTACTTTTGACGTTTTTACTCAAACCGTTAGCCTCAAACTCAATTCTTGGAGGGCCGCAGCTCTGCATAGTTTAGCTCCAACCAACTCACACCGGCTTGATAGTCTGTAGCAGTCTTGAACACCTTGATTTGCTGGATCAGCTGTGTTTGATTAGGGTTGGAGCAAAACTGTGCAGAGCTGCGGCCCTCCAGGAATTGAGTTTGAGACCTATGACTTAAATGTTACTTCTTCAGCAGCAACAACCAAACACTGCTCCATTTCATACTGAACAAACTTAAGATCGCAATGTGGGGTTAACACCACAAATGTCTGAAGCAGGGTTTCATAACCCTGGCCAAAATGAGGTGTCAACACCATATTATAGTTGTAAAATGTCTTTACCCAACATCACGGTGGCACAGTTGGTAGCACAATCGCCTCACAGCCAGGTCACTGGTTTGAGCCCCGGCTGAATCAGTTGGCATTTCTGTGAGGAGTTTGCATGTTCTCCAAATGTTGTCGTGGGTTTCCTTCAGGTGCTCCGGTTTCTCCCCCGGAGTCCAAAGACATGCGCTAAAGCTAAATTGAATAAGCTAAATTGGCTGTAGTGCATGTGTGTGAATGCAAGTGTGTATGGGTGTTTCCCTATGTTGGGTTGTGACTGGATAGGCATCCGCTGCGTAAAACGTATGCTGGATAAGTTGCCGGTTTATTCCGCTGTGGCAAGCCCTGATTAATAAAGGGACTAAACCAAAAATAGAATGAATGAATGAATTAATGTCTTTACCCAGGCTAAAAGTAAGATTTAGAATGACGATAAAGGTATATAAATAGCATGTACCTGTGGCAAGAAATGAAATATTTGATTAAATTTGTATGTATGATAGATAGTTTGTATTTCTGTAGTAATACTAAACTAGCAGTTCTCCATTCTGGCCCTCGTTTATCTCCAACCGTAATTAAACTCGCTTGTTCATAGCTTTCTGGTGATCCTGATGACGTAGATTAGCTGGCTTAGGCGTGTTTGATCAGGGTTGGAGCAAAACTGTTCAGTAGATGAGCTGAACTTTTTGTTACTGTACTACACTGCTGGTAAATGTTGCATTTTGCATGATTCTTCATCTCATTGGTCAAAGAACATCAGCAGATCAGCTGAACAGTGTGTTGCTCCAGCAAGTATGCAGGCACAAAATGCATTGCTGGTCAGCAGCACTAATCATGCAGGCAAAACTTTGCAGAAAGTAATTCACATTCGCTATTAAATTACCATTTGTCTGCAGTGTGCTTTACGTTGTCGCATCATGTTTAGTGCGAAAGAGTCTAAAAGCTTTTCTTTTGCTGACACTACCAGATTATTTGTGCTTCTCATTTAGGAAAGCAGTTGGAGTACTTTATCTTCCCAAATGATCATAAACGCCTCTCGATATAAAGGAGTTCTTACTTTGAGAAACTAGCAACTCAGGATCACAAACTGCTTGTTTTAAAATCAATCTGGGTTTATTTTTGATACCCTAATAAGCACAATACGAAGCGAACATCTAATCATCCATTCATCTGCTTTTAGAGAGCTCTGTGATCTGAACTGTTAGAAAAGAGAACCATTCAAAATGTGCAAAGCGCCGAGTCCCCAAGCCTGAAGTTGAGAACTGCTGCCCTACAGTAGTCCCACCCATATGACGGACTACACCCCGAACGCAAGGCAGAGTCATTACGTCCCAACACTTTTGACAAATGATTTCAAATACATCCGATAAAAGATGCACAAGAGTGTATTTGCCAGTGGAGGTCAGTGGGCTGATTTTCTCCATTCGATGCTCTCTCTCTCTCGCTCTCATCCCCGCCATGACATCTCCAGGATCCACCTCCATCTGTGAAGCAGCGCTCTGCTGCAGCAGCCAGGCAGCTCAATTGGCAGAGTGCCTGCCTTTCAACACAGAGCTAAAAATAACTCCGCTCATTAACATCCACATTCATTTAGCAGAGGGAGACACTCGCTGCCTCACAAACAGACGCAGCACTCGCTCCTCACGACTCAAACACACACACACATATATATAGGTACCCCACAGGTTCTCTGCACACAGGCTAACACAAACGCACATTTGCCAGCACATGGGTGCACACACGTGCGTGCATGCTCGAAATCATGCCATCCTCCTCAGATCAGGAGTCAGCCAACCAAAGGACAAGAAAAAAATGAATGGGGGGGTATCTGCGATTCAGCCACTGCTGCTCCATTCATTCAATGATGGCACACTAGAAATGAATGTCTTTGCTTTCATTCTTATGGTGCCAGTGGCAAAAAGAGTGCAACAACCAATTAACAGTGGATATTAATAATAATAATACATTAATTTACATTTATATAGCGCTTTTCTAAACACTCAAATCACTTTACAGATTTGCAGGGGAAATCTCAACCACCACCCAATATTTATATGTAAAAAGTACATAATGACAATGCACTCTTAAACGCAAATGACCATCTTGGTCCCACCTTATTATAGGTGGCCTTCGTTAGTATATACTTGCACTAAGATTAATAGTTCATGGTTTCCGCTACATTCATTCTTCCATGGCGGGGCACCATGCCAAAATTGATCCCGCCACGGCTACATTACAGCTTCTCATTCAAAACATTTTTTTTTATAGCGATAATCGCACCAAAACGTATTAAAGGTTAAGTGAATTATAACAGCGCAAACTTTTCTCTAACCGTAGTAGTGCTGTGCGTCATTTTTTTAACCCTTTAAGGTGACGTGCTGATTGGCTGACTGACAGGTGCGTGATGCGTGAGGCCAGCAAGCACGACGTATAGCCGTTTCACTTTACTTGAGGACGTATTAATGCTACTCTGTAGGTCTTTTAGAGACATTCATAAACATTCCTAGCAAATCTAATAAATGCTGGAGACATACTCGTTACATAAACGAACTAAAATCGCACACAGCAGCGTTTGTTTGAGAGCACACAAGAAGATCTGCACGCCCTTGAAGCGGCTTATATTTGAGGTGGCGTGCAAGAAGTTTTGTGCACGAGCAGAGGAAATCGGCGCGCAAACAGAGATTCACATGCTCATACATGTAGGTTATTACATAAATGTGATCCAACTTCTAATACTGCGCTCACAACATTTGTCATTGAAATAACGCCACAGGTATTTGGTAGATCTGTGTAAAAAAAAAAAAAATCCTAGAGGAAACACTGTAGTTTGTTACAATGTACTTATTGTGTAAATAGATGTTTTACATTGTAGTTAGGATAGATGAAATACCTGCATACAATTACATTTGTTATGTATTTCTGTAATTACAATGTTGACCATTCAGATTTTCCACATTTTTTAAGCTACAGCCTTATTCCAAAATGGATTAAATTCATGCATTTCCTCCAAACTGCACACACAATACCTCATAATGACAATATGAAAAAGGTTTTTTGAAATTGTTGCAAATTTATTTAAAAATTAAAAACCTGAAAAATCACATGTACAGAAGTACATGTTCACAGCCTTTGCTCAATACTTTGTTGATGCACCTTTTATATATATATATATATATATATATATATAAAATAAAAATAAATAAAAACTTACCAATAGCTTTGGACACTTCATCCAGCTTCTCTTGAGTACGGCTGATGAGAACAATGGCAAAACCTCTTCGAGCAAGCTGCACAGAATGACAAACATTCAACATTACAATAAATTACAAATCATTAATCTGACATAATCAATTTATACAGTAAAGGTGTAATAGGTGATCGTCTTCTTCAGAAACCATTTTTGTATAAATATGCCATAATATATGCTGGTTGAAAGTCTTCACATGCTAATAGAAACCATTAATTTAAGTGGTCTAAATGTATTTATATGTATTAATAATCTATGAAAGATGTAGGACCAAAAAAAAATCCATCCAATCAAATCATTTGGTCTGAATATTACAATAGGCACCCTGTCTGCGCAGAAACCATTACATCATTGACACATTCACAGACACTGTTCAGACAGAGAATGGCAGACAAACATCAACAAGTTGTTTTTTAGGGATGGTATTGTAATTACTAACTGTACAATAAAGTTTTCACTAAGGTGAATTTTATGTTATGTAATGTAGCAATGCTGTCTAGTGTGCATTCATAAGCCATGGATTTGAATGGTGATTTGCAGGGTGGGACATAGGCTTTAAGTGTTATCAGACTAATGTTAGCATTCTCCAAGATCTCCTATTGCACCTTTAAACTGAAACAATTAGTTAACTTCACATATCAAAGCATCTACCACTATCTGTATTAAAGGAGATCTAAATTACAAAAAATTACTTTTATAAGGGGTTTGGACACAGTTGTGCGGCAATAGTCTGTGAAAAAAAACAGCTTCTAATGCTAAAAATTGATCGATTCTATTTTTATAAACAACACACTGCAAACACACTTTGATTGACATTCTCCCTTTGTACATGTCATCATTATTGAGGATCTCTCCCTCATTAGCGCAGTACATTACTCTTGTTTTGAATCTGCCACCATGCTGACTCATAGGTGTATGTAGCTCCGCCCTCTTTTGAAAAAGGCACAATCTCATTTGAATTTAAAGCGACAGTCACCAAAATTACACAGTATTTTAATCAACAGCAACCTCCCGCTCTCTCTCAGGAAGCCAATACGGAAGTAACTAAAACTGCAATTCATCTGAAATTCCGCTAGTCGTGGCCGCTCCTGGCTCCAAAACAGAGCAAATTTCAATTGAGCCCACTGTTAGAATGGCCAACTTTACAGCAGAAAAAAAGGTGTTTACAGCCTGGTACAAAAAAAGATTTTGGTTAATACAGCTAATATTACCCTTCATAACAACTGTGAGGGGGGTGAATTTTTTTATAACTCATCCGTTTCCTTTATATTAAGTTATAATAAATTTGCATAATTAAGGGAGTGGCCACTTGAGTGACAGCTAGGTCTCACTGGTCGCCGTCACGTCACCTCAGCTGAATCCTGCAGATCAGCCACTGAACTCGGCATATTTATCGTATTTCTGTGTTGTTTTATGTGGCTTTACACAGTCACAGATTGATGACACAGTCATCAATCTGACGGATTGATTAGCTTTAGGCTCTAGAACAGACATCTGAAGCGTTGTCATACAGTGTTATGCTGGATTTCATCAATAGTCTTACATTAACTAACACAGATTATATCTAAAGTGTTTGGAAGTAATTCGTGTTTTCCTCCTGTTGAAAAACGTCATAAGAACAATGTTTAGTGGCTCAGTGTATTACAGCAGTGTGTGTTTAAAAGTCTAAACGCTTTATTGATATAGTATACAACCAAGCACAAGTGGTCAGAATACAAACGAGTCACAGGTGATAAAGTATTAAGCGTTCTCCCAAAGTAAAGTGTGTCTGAATCAGGTCCAAGCAAACTGTCTGCAGGTGTCTGGAGCTCCGCTAACTCTCAGCCTCTTTGCCCTTGTTTGGTATCCCGCCATGGGTGTGATGACGCGCGAACAAAATGGTGACGGTTGGCCGTGCCTACTTGTGGCTTCTTTTGCGCTCTTTAGAAACGTATGGGTGACGTCACGGATACTACGTCCATATATTTTACAGTCTATGATTTTAATCAAGGTCTAAAAAGCAGTAGATTCAAAAAGTTACAAATTATTATGTGCGGGTCATTTAGAGTTGAAATTTCACAAACACAGACTTCAGAGACATCAGAGATTTATTTTACATCTCGTAAAAAGGGACATAATAGGTCCCCTTTAAGGCTGAAAAATTCTTTGGCCGTCAGCACTCCAAATCAATCAATGCAATGTCCACCAAATAATTTTGGCCATCAGGATGGTCCACAGACATGTGCGCACATGTATGCAGCCCTTTTTTTCCTGATCGTGCAGACAGCAGGCGCACAACAGTGCACATGCAGGGTGAATGTTGAGACAGAGCGAGTCCTTTAAATGGCACTGTGCATGTGTTGAACTCGCTGCTCTGCACATATCCTTGGTTGAGTATATTCTGAACTGCACAGACACAGCTGTGTATAAAAGCAACATTGAAAGGGTAGTATACACATGCCTTTATATGCCAAAAAAAACCTACTTATATAAGTGTATTATTACAGAAACGGATCTCATTTTCAGAACATGACATTGCATAATTACACAACATTCTATAAAATCCCTATTCATAAAGACCATCAGACTGAAAAAAATGAGAAGCAGCAGGGTGGTAAATGCTTGTCAGTTTGTCAGCTGTATGAGGCAAACCTTTGAGAGCGGAGTTCTCCCTGAACTCTGACTGAGACCTCAAGTCTGATGACTCATTGTGATTTCCGTGAAGAGAGGAAAAAAAAAACACAAATAAAACCTGAGAAATCTTACCTCCTCCGCATAGGCTTTTCCGATTCCATCGGTGGCCCCAGTCACAACTGCAGAGGAAAAAAAAAAAAGAATATAAATGATCAGGATGCCAAATATGCATCACCTCAGTTTATATGTAAAGACACACTTAAAGGTTTAGTTCAGCCAAAAATTCTAATGACCCCATCATTTACACTCCCCCTTTTTGATTTGAACCTTTATGAATTTCTTTCTTCTGATGAACTCAAAACAATAGATTTTAAAAAGCACTGGTTGCTGGATCCATAGTAGAGAAAAATAATAAGGAAGTCAAAGAAAGTCGCAGCATTTTTCTAAATAAATTTCTTTGTGTTCAACAAAAAAATTAAACTCTGGTTTTAAACAAATGAAGGGAGAGTAAATGAAGACAATTTTCATATTTGGTGAAATATACCTTTAACATTAGGCATAATTATAATTTCTGACTAACGGTGCTTAAAAACACAAGATACAACCTTTGTAAGGAAAATAAATTGCGTCATTAACATCCTTCATGAAGACTAGCTGTTTTATTTATTGTATGAAATTGACCAGGAACTCTTGGAGCATGGACCAGGAGCATGGAAAATCAAACATGCTCCTGCACCAGTTCCCCAATTAAAAACAATGTCCCAAGAAAGGGGGTTTTCAGTCAAGACCATATAAAAAAACAGATTTACAAAAAAAAAAAAAAAAAAAAAAACACTTTCAGTAAATAGTTTCTCAAAGAACAAGGGATTAACAGTGTATTAGCACTGCAAAACTCTGAAATTGGATCGTTTTATTTATATACAATCAATTTGCAATGTGAATACGGTTTCACAGGGTAATTTAAATAGCACTGCTTGACAGTTTTCTGGGAAGTCTGGTAGTATTCAAGCACAGAGACTGTATAATCGCAATGCATACAAATGCTTTTTGTACCTAGCTTTGTCCTGTTTCTAGTCCAAATATCCAAAAATTCTTAGATCAAGTAAAAATATTTAAGAAGAAAGCTTTTCGTAAAAAAAAAGCTAAATTATCTGACAGTGGGGTACGTGAAATAATCTTGGTTTTGGAACAAGACAAATTGTGTGTAAATGAATAAATACTATCAATCTTTGTTACACATTTAAACAGAATTTTTGAGCATAAAAAATTATAATGAACTCTTTTGAAATGCTCAGTCTTGGTCAACTATGATTCAGACATTGTATATCCTGCAATGTGACTATTGCAAAAGCACACATTGTGAAATGATATATTGTGCTGCCCTACAATGTATCAATTTACCCTGTGTACCTGATTCTTTTGGGATAGATCCAAGAATAAATTGTATATTTATGGTTTGCACTTTAGAGTTGCTGAAATTATGATTTTAGCTAGAAAAATCTACACTATTTTAAAATATAAATACTTTGCTGTTTTAGTGTAGAAGAAAAACAATTCCGAGTAAAGATTTTAAGTAAAGACACGTTAAATGAAAAAAAAAAAAAAAACTTCTTGCAAAGTTCCAAAAAGATGCATAAGACATGAATGTAAATCTTAGGGGCTGATCACAGCGAATGCACAGAGTATTTTTTTGAATGATTTACTAACGGCTGCGAGAGTTTTGCACACTGCTTATGCGCCCATTGCGTTTTAACTGACTACTGTGCTTCGCATTTTTGCTGTTGCGTGCCGCATTTTTGCTGTTGCGTGCTGTGAGCAAAGTATTTCACAAGAGGATGTTTTTTCCAATGCTCTTTAGTGAGAAGAACATGGTTAGCATTTGTTTTGTATGCAATGCTGCAATTCATTGGCCAATAAATAAATATATTTCCATAATATATTTTTAACATTACCTTGATTATCAAATTTTCACACAGATACCATTACATATTGCTTACCATTGAATTTGTTTGACTACAAAAGTATAGTGAAAAATCTGATAATGTATAAATAAAAGCAGGGTTCCACACAATCGATTTGTGTTGGGACAACATGAAGGGATTAAGTATTAGTTTTTACAAATTTAAGTAGATTGAACATAAAACAATTTAGTTGTCCAACAAAATTCTAAAAAAAATGTGTTATTTTTACAGCTCATCTTTTTGAGTCCCAGCTGGGTCAGTTGGCATTTCTGTGTGAAGTTTGCATGTTCCCCCTCGTGTTCATGAGGGTTTCCTCTGGGTGCTCAGATTTTCCCCAAAGGCCAAAGACATGTGCTATAGGTGAATTGAATTAAATAAATTGGCCATAGTGTATGTGTGTGAAAGTATGTGTATGGGCTTTTCCCAATACTGGGTTGCAGCTGGTTGGGTATCTGCTGTGTAAAACATATGCTGGATGAGTTAGTGGTTCATTCTGCTGTGGTGACCCCTGATGAATAAAGGCAAATTTAAACTTCTGTGTCAAGCACACACGTATATGCTCCGGTGCAGCCTGTGCACAGTCGCACATCCCTTACCGTGGCTAACACCAACGTGCACCTCAGAAAAATGTAACTACACATCGCAACAATGCGTAGTGCAAGCTCTGTGATTGGTCGGCTTGGTAGCTGTGGGTCGGGACCGAGAGCCACGTGAACTCGTTGGAGCATGTGTTTACAAGTGTCGAGTCACGTGAAGGAGCTCCAGACGGAAGTTTTTGTTTTGTGATCACCTTATGATTAAAGTTACACATCCACTGGTTGCCGCCTCTAAATGAGCGAGATTTAGCTACTTGTACAATAAGGTAGCGTTCAGAAAAAACAAAACACCAGCGAAGAAACTCAACACAGAAGAACATAACATAACCTACTGCCAGCTAGCGTTTCGGAAGTGTGATTGCAGAGCAACACAGACAGCACACAGAAGTATTAATGCACATCTACATGCAAGGCAGTCGCCATGGGTCACACCGATCACTCCACACAGAAATATAAATTAGCCTTAAGGGGGATAAGCCGAATGAATGAATGAATAAATGAATTGAGATTTTTTTTTGTTTATTTTACCATTATTGTGAAGCATTATAAAATAACCATTATTTCATATTCCACCGGGAGGATATTTCTTAATCTAAAGAACCTCCTCACAGAACAAAGACGCTTTTATAGACTAAATTTAACATAAATGGAAGCATAAAATGACCCTTAATTTGTAAAAGTGTAGCTTTCCAGGCTTCACTTAAACAACAGGCACCATAATCACCCTGAAATCCACTGCTGGAAATACACCTATGATAGCTGTCAGGTAAGAAAAAGAAGAAAATGCTTCGCATTCATAGAAAGAGCTGAAATTCACAGTCCCTTCACTGGGCATCAAGGACACGGGATGCACATCCCCACCCTTTAGCCTGGCATCTTCAGTGTCATAGATGCCAGGCCTGATTAAAGATTTACACGGGCAGCCCTCATACACCGGCTGGAGTAACATAAGAGAGTGTGGAGAAGGAGGGGTGGATGACGAACAATAAGACAGCACAAGGGAGGAGCGAATGAGGACTGATCCTGAGGGCAGTTAAAAATAGAAAGGGAAGAGTGAAAGGCAAGCGGCTAAAGGAGAGTACAGTCGGGAGGGGGACGGCACACAGTTAGAGGCAAGGGAACCATTTTCCCAGTTATTTTTAAGCACATTTACAATACATTACTCCACATGGGCAGATGAAGAAAAAAAAACAACATTGGTTGGGATGAAGTGCTCCAAGCATGTACTGCTATAGGTGAGGACAGAGAGAGGGGAATTTCACTATGAATGCGATGTCTTCATCTCATAATACACCCTGAGCGATGTCCACAAACACATGCTGGAAATGTGAATGAACTGGAGCCTTATTCAGAAAAAAACGTGAGAGACCTCAATGGGCTGAGCTGTTGTGTAACATCACATCTGTGCTTTACTGCTTAACTAGCCAGTGCCTGTTCACAATACGCTTGAGGTAAATATTTAAAAAATAAGCAGATTTGAAATTAGACTTGCAATTTTCCATAAAAACGAGAGGGGGGGGTATTAACTGCCATATTAGCTATCAAATTTTCCAAATTATAAATAATATTGGGTAACAATTTAGTTTAGGTCACAATTCATGAAATTATAAAACCATTAGCCAACACTACTAGCATAATAAACTACTAATTAACCATTTATTAATAGTTAGTAAGGTATTAGTTGGATTTAGGTTTTGGGTGGGATTAGGTATATAGAATTAGATCATACTTTACAACTACTGATGAACTGTCTTAATAATAAGCAGGTAATAAGCCAGTAGTTTATAGCATGAATGGTGAGCTAAAGTAAAGTGTAACATTATTCTTTAATAAAAAGTATTAAACTTTTTTTTTTAAAGGTTAAACAATAAAACACTACAATAAATAAACAATATAAAGACTAATGATAAATAATACATAAAATAATATTTAAACAGAAAAATGATTTAAGATTTACTTTTGATAAAAATGAGGATTCATTTTTTGAACAGATTCATATTTTAAAACAAGTTTAAAGTCTCTGTTAATGTTATCTGATAACATTACAAATATGGCATTGCAAAAATAAGTTTGACAGTTAGGTTGCTATTGCAATATTGGCATTTTGAGCAACTTGTCCTTCTGTCCACGAGTGAGCTTACCATGTTCAATACAGTATCTTGTACAAATCTATAGTTTTTGCAGGATTCACAAAGTCAAATTTATGACTTTTAAGAGCATTATTATTTACATTTTAGACTTATAAAGGTCTCTTTTTTTATTTGTTAGCCACAAGTTTCAAAACAAGCAAACCCTAGTATGCATACACATTTGACATACAAATGTTTAAACTAAAAACTATAACACACTAAATGTACACAAGAGTCTGTCTAGGTCAGTGTCCTCACCATACATTGACTATAAATACACATTTAAACAAACATTATTAAAGGACGGTAATAAAACCATATTGATAAATAGAGTTATAAATAGAGTTTTGTTAAACGTTCTATTGAGATGGATTGTTGGTGATTTAGCATTAGCATGATTTGGCATGTTGGCCAGATTTAGCTTTTTATGGACAAAGAAAAAAAAAGACCTGTTTACAATTTTTTAAGGCCTACAAGACAAAACTTAAGACCT